AAAAAAAACCCAGTTTGGATTGCAGGAAATTAGGGATTTACAGTATCATCATTTATTTAGTTAGGCAATAATTTTCTAATAGGGAAAACAGACTGATGGCACAGAGATGAGACTAAAATCTGATTTGATTTCCCTCTAATTTATTAAGTGAAATCTTGGTCTTAAATTTAAGGTCAAATACTTTATGCTTTTATTTCATCATCACATTAATTATTTAATATACAAGACTGGGTCAACTTGGGTTTTTCTTCCTGCAGAAATCTTCTGATCTAATTACGGCTGTAAAACAACAATTTAACAATCTCGAATTTCTGTTTTCTAACACTGGCGTTTATTGTCCAAAATCTAAATACATAACCTGAAATTAAGTGCCAGTCGCTGGTTAGCCTCTATAACGTGAATTTATCCAGTAAGTAACCTGCGTACGTTACCTAACATGTGATTATTTGAGACTTTCAATTTATAAATAAAACCCTCCAGTTAACTTGAAGCCTGGAAGACTTTCCATCAGTCTGATGGAGATTTAAAACACTTCATTGTGATTTTTGTATATAACAGACATACGGTACCACGCAGGAGGTCGCAGCAGATGTCAGAAAGTTAAAACACCAGCCTTACCTGTCTGCCCTACAGAGGTGCTGCCGCTGTGCTTTTCTTCTGGGAGTAAACTCTGTCTCGGCTCTGCTCCGCTGCTCTCGCCCTTGTTGGAAAAATGCGCGCAGAAAAGTAAAATCCTCATCATATTTCATCTGCTTTTCTCCATCGCAGACGGTCCAGGTGAGGCGAAAGGCTGTCAGAGTTTTGGCGCACAGGTAAGCAGCATTCTCAGTTGTGACACAGTCTATGATAGGCTGCGCGTCTTGAGCCCCTCCAGGCTCCGCCCCCTCCTGCTGGTGCTCCGTCTCTGCCCCCCCCCCTACCCCTCCCTTTGAAGATGTGCTCTCGGCGGCTGGAGGTGAGGAAACGACTCGCTTTAGGAAAACAGCGGATCAGTGAAACAGCCTGTCAGAGCTGCAGTGGTGGGATACAAGTCAATTTACTCATCAGCGTATTAATACATCCTCCAACACAGTTAAGAGGAAATACTGCAGTTTTTATTCTCTGATTACTTCAGTGGGATTATGCAGTTACAGATCAGTCAGACCACCAAGAGACGACACATAGAAACATAAACTGGCCCCTGATGAATCAGCTATACACGATCATGTATTACCAATGATGCTCTGATGATATATACTACTATATATAATATATATACTGCTTTTGTGCTCTTTTTTGCATTGACCTTAATGGAGTTTGCAGAAATGTTATGCTTGTGATCAGCTGTTTTCACTTTGTGTTGCTACCCCAGTGTTACTCGCCTACAGATTTGTTTCTCTAACAGCTGCATTTCCATAATATGAACAATGCAAAAGTATCTGCCACCAAAAATAATATCTTTAAAAAAACAGTAAAGACTGTGAAACCATCTCCACACATGCTGAGATGAAAACATTTACTCTTTAAGAACAGTTTTTAATTTGTTTAGGTTTCTTTCATTTGTATGCACGTATAGAAAAACAGAATTAACTAAATAAATTGATTATTAGTTAATACTACATATACTCAGCCTTGAAAAAATAATTGTAACAATCCAATTTATTTAAATACAAAAAATGATGCTTTTAAATAAAGTAGATTTATGTATGTCTGCATCTGTACTAAAATGTTATGTGCATTTCCTTCTTAACATTGATATGTTGTAAGAAATTACACAGAGAAACATATAGAAATGTATATATGGACTAATAAGCTCCAGGTCCACTTTGTATCTTCTACCAGATCTTTCATTGCCCTCCTGCAGAAGCTTTGTTCTTCTTTGGTAATAATCTGCAAAAGCATTCAAAATCTGCTGACAGTTACTTGACACAAATATCAAACACATGTACGCAGTTTACCTTAATTGCTTTGATGTCTGAAGTCACAGTCTGTTTAAAACAGAACCGGGTTTACTGTCGGACTGCAGCCTTTCAGTCAGACAGATGAGCTCACGAATCCTGTGACTGCAGATACTCGTGACACGTAGGGCGATCACACACAGACTTTTTCTCCTGCATCCAAAATATTTTGAGTCTTTGTTTTTGATTTTCTCTTCAAGGACAATCACATGCATTTTAATAAATTATTTTTAAAGATTAAAGCGTAGATTTTTTTTGTGGTTGAAATAAGAAATAAACTAAACACATTTCTGTAAAGTCAGCTTAGACAGACTCTGAGGGAATGGTTTATGTAACCATCCCCAAATGCCCTTTTAGTGCCAGAAAAACACCTTTATTTTTAAATCTTCCTTATAGACCGACTGGTCGTAGTTTTCAAAAAACATTAAAACATTCACAAATCTGTCTTTGTTGTCTTTATTTTTTACAGAAATTAATTCAGATAAATAGATCTGTCCTCCTGAGGTCCAAACCTAAAAACCTCCATTGTTTTTATTTATGTGTTTAAATCAAAATATCAAAAAATTATAAATATATTATGATAACAACAGTTAATAAATGATACAGTTAATTAAGAATAATAAATGTGGTTATAATTATTAAGTGTAACAAATCAGTATTTTAGTTTTTCTCTGTCAGTTCAACTGGACAAAACAAATTACAACTACAAGTATGTGTGATGAGTTTTGTAATTAAAAAAACATTGATAATAGAAATGAACTGATAGCAGTTTTTAAACTCTGTTAAAATGTTCTTTTACAAAAAAAAGAAGATATATTACAACATCAAAATAAAAAAAAACTAAATTGTAGAAAAGCAGATAAACAAATAATGAGGAATAAAGAAGTCAAATATAAACAAAAACCTGCTACAATTAAAAATTAAGGCAATAAAAGAATAAAAAGAGATTTTAAAGACAATAAATTTCATCTAATGTTATGATTCACAGTTGGGGAAGCAAAAGCAAAGACTGGTCATCATAGACCCAAACATACATGTGGTTAATAAATCCTCCAGTGAGGCCAAGTAACGCTTTAAAAGTGGTTTGTAAGAGTTTATAATCTGTACAGGATTTAACAGACATTCAGTGTAAATGTGAACAAACTGGAGTTGCATGGTCATATTTTTATACACATTTTAAATTCTGGGCAGCAGACTCACCCGGAGCAGGTGAAGTGAGCTCTGACTGCTAAAGAGACGCAC